AGCGCTGAGCACCGCGCCGCGGACCGCCCTCCTCTCCCCCACAGCTTACCCACGCCGTCACCGCGGCCAAGAGCAGCAGCCTCCTGCCCGTCACCAAGAGCGGGCCGTCAGGGGCCCCTGGGATGGGGTTGCGCCCCCGCACCGCCTTGGAGGACATCGGCAACCGCGTCGCTGAGCCACCTAAGACGAGGGCTACCGCCAAGATTTTGAAGGACGACTGCTGGCCGGAGCCGAGCACCAAGCCCGTGCTCCCTGTTTCCCTGCACAACACCGCCACTGCGAGGGTGACGTTAAGAGCTCCCGTGAAGGACGAGGTGCTGCCGCCAATATCGGAGTCTGCCCAGGTATGTCCCCTGCCCGGCGCAGGTCTGCGCCGCCCCCACACTGTGGGGCTGCCGAGTGCCGCTTAGCCCGCACCGGGCTGCGGAGCGAGGTGCTGCCACCATTGATCCCAAATTTCTTTGTAGCTGGGGTCTCAAAGTGGATGTGACTCAACAGAGGACACGATGTGTCAGGCGTTTTCTGATGTCTTGCTTGATGTGGAAGATGTAGATCTGAAAGATCGCAGTGACCCGCAACACTGCAGCAGCTATGTGAAGAACATCTACAAGTACCTGAGACACCTTGAGGTTGGTAGGAGTAGGACAGCACCACAAGGGGCATCTGCTAACACAGTGAACCTATTATTGCAGGTGTGGCTTGGATCCGATAGTCACTTTCACATATGGCTTTTCCTGAGGCATTAATATGTGATTGATCCCTCAACTTAAAATACAAGATCAGAAGAAGCTGATAACACAAACACATGCTGCTTGTAAGACCAGTCAGCTAGTTGTACTAGTACCATGCTCTTTCTAGCCTACTTATAGTAACCAAAGAAACATTGTGCCCTGTGCCTATGAGCTGTGTCTGTGCTGAACTCCTTGGTAAGCCTTGAGAGGCAACAGAAGCTAGGCAGTGCATGTGCTTCAGCCAAGTGACTAGATCTATTAACCCTCTTCCTTCCACACAGGCAAGCAGACCTATCAGACCCAAATACCTGACCGGCCAGGAAATCAACGGGACCATGCGTGCCATGCTAGTAGATTGGCTTGTACAGGTACAGGTAAAATTCACACTCCACCAGGAGACCTTGTATATGACAGTTGCTATCGTCGACCTCTTCCTGCAGGTGAGTGTCTCTCTCTCCTGGTGTCAGGCAATGGTTCTCCCCTAAGCTAAAGCACAGCAGGCACTGATGGCGTACACCATACATGGTTAGACATGTTACACTTGCCAAATACCCATAGTTGGTCAACTGTATTTTGCTACTTAATTGCAGCACCACATAACCCCCTTGGCTATCAACAGTGACCCAATATATCAAAACTGCTTACTCCTTCCCTTGATTTGGTTGTGTCAAGGCTTTCTGATGCCCCTGAAGATGGTGTACAGTTATGCTGCCACAGAGCAAACTTTGCATTGGCTACTGTGAAAAGCTGTATTCTGAGCACAGTTGTTCAGATAAACCTCTACTGCTTCTTTCTGCAGGACAATCCTGTTTCCAAGAAGATACTGCAGCTGGTTGGTGTCACAGCTATGTTCATTGCCAGCAAATATGAAGAGGAGTCTCCCCCGTTTATTAATGACTTTGCCTATGTAACTGGTTACACTTACACAAAATCACAAATCCGCCAGATGGAGGTGAAGATCCTGAAAGCGCTGGACTTCAGTCTGGGTCGCCCTATCCCTCCGCACTTCCTAAGGAGGATTTCAAAGACTGCAGAGGTAGTGCTGAGAACAGGTGCTACTGTAAGCAGCACCTGGAAATTGCAATACTAGACTGGCAGCTTGTTAAAATGGCCCAAAACTTTGAGGACTCAACAGCTGAGCAACTGAGCCTGGTGGAGACATGTCTCCTATGTAGAAACTGGTGTCTTTTGCTTGCTTTCAGTTGCATGAGCCTAACTTGCCCAAAACCAGTTAAAATGCCTGCCTGGTACTGCAGGTAACTACCAGGCTGCCTTTCAATAAAGGAGTGGTCTTAGACTATGAGCAGCCTAACACAGGTCAGAACTGCTCTGTGATTAAGTCCCTTGAATTTCAAGCCTATAGCTCTGAAAATATTTGCTAAGAAAGTATTTCTTCCCACTTGACTAAACCAGGGCTTTACAGGATGCCCTTGCCTTGGATATAGGCAATGCTCAGCTCTTTCTTATTGCAGATGGATGTGGAACAACGCACCCTGGCCAAGTACCTGATGGAGTTGTGTCTTGTGGACTACGATATGGTTCACATTCTCCCATCCAAGACTGCAGCAGCTGCTTCCTGTTTGGCTCTGAAACTCCTTGGCGATTCCAAATGGGTAAGTCATGACCGGTCAGACCACCTCCTAGTTTGGAAATTGGTGTTCCTGTGCTCTGGCTTAAAATGCCACTCTGGACCAAGTGCATGCTTTCTTGCTTTCCTTGTGGTATCTGCACATGCCCTCGTCTCCCCATTGCCCGTTGCAAAGGGAGAGCAGTGGAGCAGCAACTGCTAACCGTGGCCTGTGAGACAGGACACCAAAACTTAACAAGCCCAAAAGGAAGCAAAGAGCCCAGCAAACTCTGATTGTTCTAACAGGCTTGTCTAATGACTTCCCTTTTAGACATCAGCTCTGCGATACACAACGTACACAGAGAGTGACCTTATCCCAATCATGCAGCACATGGCAAAGAATGTAGTTCTCATGAATCAGAACAGCATCAAGCAGACGGTAAGAATCACAGTGCCAGCAGGGAGTGTGCAGAGAAGTGTCAGCGTGTGGTGCTCTGAAGCTGGCTTAGCTGAGCCTCTGCTGCCTGGCTCGGATGGGGCCTGCTCACTTCAGCCACACCTCTGTCTCAGCAAGGTGTCATGAGCCAGCTACGAATTGGGCTTGTGTGCTAAGATGGGCTCAGCTTGGCCATTGAGCCTTGGGTGGGCAAGCTGCAATAGCCTGTTCATGACTCAAGCAGACTTCTCTCTCCTGCAGGCAGTCAAGAATAAATATGCCAGCGACAAAAACGCCAAGATAAGTGTCATCGATCAGCTTGACTCACCTATCATACAAGATCTT